CCCCAAAACCCCAAAACCCCAAAACCCCAAAACCCCTTAAATGGGAATTTTAAGAAATTAATAGATATAATATTAATTAGATTGAAATAATGCAAGAATAAGAAATTATAGGCTCAACTGAGTCTTTAAAATAATTGCAGCTTCTGCATGTGTCTACTAACAACAACAATAACATTAACAATAACCTTCAACTGAACACCACTGCAAATAATGAGGATGCGATTGACAGATCTACCAATAACAAGAGCCAGCAGTAAAACAGGCGAGTGATTCCCCGATCTAAAATATCGCCACCTCTCAAATAAACAAGTCAGCATGTCTCTATTTTTAATTCCTCGGTATTTCTCAAAGATTACCAATCTTCCTCAGCCAACGGAGTTGCTAGTGAAAAATAAAAATCAAACAGGCAATTCGACATTGTAGAGGATGTACCAAATACTATTAAGAGGTAGGTAAACGATAAAAACTATGAGAAGCAGGTGATCGAACTGTCGCAAATGAAATTCAAACTTACTGGGTAATCACTGCTGGCCATATAAAATTAATAAAGTGGCTTCGTCAGACTCTAACAGCTCAAAATCAACATCAAGTTAGTCAAAGATTGCACTATAGACCTTGAGATTTAGAATTAAACTGCCAAGAAGCGACTAGTTTTAAGCACATCATAAAGTGGAATTGGATAAGGAACAGCACAGCTTGGTAATGATGCCAACTTTATGAGTAATTTAGATACTAATAGTCTTTATGATTCAGTCTCAAGCAGCCAGTAAGATCAGTAAAAACTGAATATCAAGTAATTGGATATCAACAAACCCTAGAGTCTATATAAGATTACTTTGGATCCAGAAAAGCTCAGAGGCAGATGGGCTACTATATGCATCGATTTTGATAGAATTATGCCATAAGAATCAGTGGGTCAAAAACTCAAAATAAATAACATCTCTATTCAAGCTCCAGGTTCTAGGATCTATGAAATTCAAGCTGTTTATGTAAGTTTAGAGAGGCAAAAATTGGTTTAAAACAGTATGCAGAAGAAACTTAAAGTGAGTTCAAGTACTAATAATCTCAACTAACAGGATAATAATTAAGAGAACTAGTAAAAAAATACTGATGAGGAAAACATAATAAAAAGATAACGCAAGGCATATGTAAATCAAGAAGATATAGTAAAGCCCTCAACCTTTCAGACTAAAAAAAGGAGCATTTAAAATGTTCCAGCTAAGGGCCCGAAGTCATTTTCCCTTAATTCAAGACAAGATAGCGATTAGCTTTCAAATCTGACCTCAGTAAAGACTCCTGTATATAACAAGATACCAGAACTACCAAATCTCAACACTAAAGCAGACAATCAAAGTATGCTAAGGAAGGGTCTCAAAGTGATATAAGAACGAGTTACTGATAATAACAGTAATCTGCTTAATTAAGAACAGCAATTAGCAGTGAATAAGAGATAGCCTGCTAAATCAGCAGTAATCTCAAGCCAGAAATTTAAGAAGTCCAATGAGGAAAATAGCGATAATGATTTAATTGACCCATAAAGTAAGGGTATGAAGTTCATCTAGAAATTGACTGAAAGACAAAAAAGAATGGAAGAAAGATATTTCAAGAAAGATCCTAAATAGCAGTAGTAACAACAACAAATCACTATATAGAATCAAGCTCTCCCACTGAAATAAAAAGCATAGCAAAAATAAAACCCAAATCTCCCTAGCAAGCCATCTAAAATGACTAACACTGCTTCAAGTGGTTTTAAATTATAGTAGAACAACTAGAACAATGGTCAAATAAACCCTACCTAGTATTTTGGCATGACCTAGACCTCTTAGATAAACTTTCAAAAGAGTTGCACTTTTAGTTCTACACTTAGAAATTTCGAGTATAAGCCACCAGTCTTTAGCAAAGACAATGATGAGGTAGAGGAATCAATCCAAGAAGAAATATGCCAGAGTTAAAGAGAAGATGCTGCCCGTCGCAATAATAACCCATATCCTCAGTACCAATAAAAAGTACAATAAAACATGCCTCAATCAGTATTCGGACCAAACGGGAATAATGTATTTGCACATAAACCCCCTATTCATAATTTTTAGACTAATACTAACAACCTTCACAATCAAAAGCAGTTCACCCTGATGAGCAGAGATTCTAACTTCACCTAAGGAACCCTTGGCATGGGAGGAGCTCATTCTACTCGTTCTACTTAGATAAAAACGTAAGAAATTCATGAAATTTATTATATAAAATTTATAGTCCAATAATGTTTGGTGGTGGCAGATTGTAATCCAGTTAGCAAGAAGAAGGGGCTGGTGGTGTACTTACTTAGTATAGTTAGATCTCTGGACCCAACAATAAATTTCCTTCAGCTAGTGAGACAAAGCAAGACTACTTTAAGTTCCATCAGAAGGATATGAGCACAGCTAGAAGCAAGCTGCTGTTTTCTCCAAGCGGAGGAACTAATGAGGGAGGCATGACTGAGGATGAAGGCGGCATTTTATCTGATAGAGAACAGCACCATCATCAGCAGCATCACTAGTTCAATCCCTATCAAGATGCAGGAGATAAGTTCGATCCAATGACTCAATCTAATAGTAATGCCAACATGCAGCGATACACGCAGAATGTATTTGATTTCGACAAAGATGACTAGGTAGGTAACGACGAGGACGACTAGTTGTACATGGTAGACGTAGCAGTAGAGTACAGAGCTGACTTTGGGCTTTAGAGAAGACCCTTCTCCCCACCTTTTAAACTATGAAGTAATTTGATATCTCGAGACAAATTAATCTAATCCTTAACTTTATTACTTAATTTTCGTAAACACAGTTTGACTTTTATTTATTTTAATTATTATTTTCGTTTTAATATATTTGTGGGTATGGGGTTTTGGGGTTTTGGGG